AACGCCCCCCCCCGCCCCCCCCCCAGCTGCTCTGCCCCTGGCTTCCCCGATTCAGCTGCTGGTCAGTTTCAGCAGGGCTGAATCGGGAAAGCCGGGTGCAGAGCAGCTGCAATTGTCCGGCTGCCCCGAGCACTTCCGGGTTCCTGATGGTGCCGGACCATCAGGAGTGCCGAAGCGTTGGATGCCAGACTAATGGAGTTTTACTGTATATAAAAGTTGATCTGCTGATGACTAGTCTTCAACTGCTGCAGTGTTGATCTCCACGGGAGTGATCTTCCAGTGTTCAATTTAGTGAGTCTAGTAAAGACCCACTATATCGAATGCTGAGGACACCCTCATTAATTGTGGCACTACTCCTTGCAGTTGTGAAGAGTAGGGGAAGTTGGTGTGCGCATGTAGCAGACAGACCAACACCCCATCTCCTCCATCTTATTTGCCTCTCTGAAGCATACAGGGCAGAGAAGGAGCAGTAAAATCAGCATAGTCTATGCTGGCTCATCTGATCCTGAGAAGCTAAAAAAAACAGATATGTGGAGAGAGCGAGCGATTAAGGCAATCAGAATAGCCATCAAGCTTTGATCTGCTTTAATGCAAGATCAGGATATGCGAGTGTGCCCGGCTGGCACCTATGTTGATACGAACACACAGTCCCTGGGAGAGGAATCCCCCACTGAGAAAAGAATGCCCAGTACTTCCAATTTAATCATCTCAATTCTCTCTTACAAGTGTAAATTAAGTTCACAACTCCCTTGTAAGAACTGGTCTCACAGAAGACAGACCAGCCCCATTTGGCATGACAGACAAGAAAGAGAAATACGTGACCCCATGGGTATATAAGATGGGCCCAGCACACACTCACTTTGTGTCATTCTACCCTCTACCTGCTGGTCGGGTTAGGTGTTTGACCTCCCGAGGTTCTATGGGGACGCCCACCTCGTATTTTCGTCTTTCCTAGGAATTGAGGGACCGGCCCTGGCCTGACATGCTGGAGTCGAGAGGCACAGAAGGGGGTAAAAATTGTACCTGGATGTGGTCCTCTGTCTTAAGTGTACACATAGAAAGAGTAAGCTGTTACTTGGTACCATTATTTCTATTTTTCTATCTTTATCTTCTTTGTAACCATTTTTAAGATCTATATTTTGCTAGTAGTTAAGAAATAGAACAATAGCCATTGCAACCATATGATTTATAAGCTTCCTCAATAAACCTGTAACTGTTTAAGCTTTAACCTGACTCCTTCAGTTGCTGTAATAGAACCAAGCACAATTTAAAAGAACTTCAGCCGGTCATTAGGGACAGATATAGGGAGAACTTGGGCGTTTGGATTTGTGTCACACCCAGGTGGCACAATCCACTGGGCACCTTTCAGTCTTTCCCCAAGGCTGCCCGCTGCGAAGGAATTACGAATTCTAGCAGCTGAAATCTAAGGTGTAATAAGCTCTTCCTATAAACTCGGGGCGTCTGAGAGTCTGTTGGCTGCTCTCTGCGACGGGACCCCGGTCCTAGCAGTAAACTCACAGACGTTAAACTATATTTTCGGGGCGCCCTCCAGCCTCCTAGGCTGCCCACTGCAACGAGACTGTGTGTCTCAGCAGTTGAAGACTTGGGTGTAACACACACACGCACACACTGCCCTGACCGTCGGCTGACAGCGCATTTCTCCTGTTGACCTCCAACTGTGGAGATGGCACCAAAACTCGCTTTAAGGCACATTGACTCCAGCTACATTATTTACATAGCTGGAATTGTGTAACTTAAGATGACTTTAGGCTGTAATGTAGATCTGTCATAAGTCACAATAGCATATCAACTGCAAACCTAGATGATAGCTACAAAAGCTAAACAATCACAAACTTTTACCAACGAACAATTATTTGTTTAAAAAGCTAGGAAATTAAATGGCAAAAGACTTCATTAACACCAAGTTAAGGTGGCATGATAGCTCAAGCCCTTTTAGAATGTTGAGTTCTGCAAAATCAGACTTCTGAAACCCCCAATATAGTCAGGGAACATGCTCTCACACCTTACCTCTGTTTTCTTTGAGCTAACAAATGCCATTAGGAATTATTGACTTTATACCAGCTGCATTCATGATGTCAAATAAAGCTGTTTTGAATGGTGGAGGAATAAACTGAAGCAGCTTGAAAGAGCTGTGACTGTGATGAGACAATCTGTGTCAATGCCCTCATTTGAGTTATCAAAGAAAAGGAGGCACACATATGTACCTAGGGGTTCTAGTCTGTACCACTTCAATATATAATTTTGTAGGTTGTGTCAGTAGTAGGGGACTGAAGCCTTCTTCCTATGGATACTGTCATTATGAGAGATATTTGTGGATTTAATGATGTGTTGGAGAAACCATCGTTTTAGGCTGCAACCTGTGTGTACATGTGAAGGGATTGTAAAAGGGTATGTAAAAGGTTGTTAAATATTATAAGTGCAGTTTTCTGCTGGGGGAGCAGGACCAGTGTTTGAATATAGTATGGGTGCAGGCAGAACCTGACCACTGAAGAAAAATGCTGAGATCATGATTGTGTGTTCTGGAACATCACTAAAAAGAGGGAAACGGCTGTGTGGGCTTCTACCTTACCTCTACTTTCTAGTTTTCAGAAAAGTTCTCTCAAGTTGACATTATGGAAGGGATGAGGCTATTACAAAAAAGTCTTAACTCTGTATTTAAGTTTTTGCCATTTAATTCAGCCTTAAAAATTTCAAGTGATGGAGAAACCACCACATCCCTACAGAAGTTATTTCAACGGTTAAGCGAGTGTTAAAAATGTGCATCATATTTCTAGTTTGAATTTATCTAACTTCAGCTTGCAGGCACTGGATCTTACTGTGCCTTTGTCTGCTAAACTGAACAGTTCTCTACCACCAACATCTCTAGGGGTAATCAAGTCTCCTGTTAACTGTTTTATGGATACATTATACAGTCTGAGCTTCTTTCAGATCTTTGTTGGATCATGTCCAATTTTTCAACATCTTTTCTGAAACATGGATATTAGAACTGGAAACTATATTCCAGTAATGATCCTGGTCATGTTGAGCAGTGAAGAAATATCGCCTCTATCCCTACTCAATGTTTCCCTGGCTTCTACATCCAAGAACAGCATTACCCCAGTTAGCCATAGTATCATATCAACAATTCATGTCCATTTAATTATCCACCATGGCCATCAAGCCCTTTTCAGTGTCACTGCCTTCCAGGATACCGTTCCTTCTTCTGAATTACATTCTTTGCTCTGAGATGAATAATCTTGCATTTGACTGCATTAAAATGCACGTTCTTCAAATGAATCTACCATACCAAGTAATCCAGATCAATTTATAGAACTGTCCTTTTATTATCTTTAATTATCTTTAACTTACCACTCTTGTGAACCTGTTAAATGGGCCTACTTCAAAAGTTTAAAAATACAAGATGAATACATTCACACACAATAAAGAGCATCCATTAAAATCTTCTCATAAATCATTAAGTAATCAGTAGAAGAGAAAGAAAAAAAAATAAAGTAAGACTGATTTACCCTTAGCTCCTCAAGTTTCTCCCTTATTTCAATAAACCCTAAGTGCAGTTTTCCCCCAAAGTGGTCAGCAAGCCGTCTGTCATTATCATGAAGACCAAGGTAGGCAGAACACACTTCACAGACGCGGAGCTTCTGCTGCTGAAAGCTGGAGGCAGGCATTGAATTCCTGTACACTTCCTGGAGGGAAAAGACATTTTAAGAGCTTCTTATTCTTTAATACGTTAAAATATGAACACAAGAATTTTTTTTTACCAGAAGCAACACCCAAAATCAGGGTTAAATACTATAACCTCTGTACTCCAGGTGTCCCTAATTCAGGAACACCCATGGTATGGAACCTGAAAAACTGCCACTCCTCCTTCTTCCCCAGCTGGGGGGACAGCAGCACAGTGATGTGCTCTGCCAGAGACTTTTCCCTGCCACCCCCACAGTGTCTGGGAGTGGCAGGAAACAGAGTACCAGATAAGCACCCTACCACCCCCATATCCCTCACTCCCTCCCTGGCCCAGGAAATTCTTTAATCTGGCAAACTATGTTTCTCAAGGTTGCCGGATTAAGGACGTTCAAGAGTACTTGTTAATTAAAAGTCACAATAATTCAAGATATTATATTAGATCTATTTTACTCACGGAAGGTATACATCAAATGCCCCCTTTAAAAGCACAAAAATAACATTTTTAGATACACATTATTTGGACACTAATTCCAAAAAACAGGGCCATGGACAATTCATTTTGCTTTCCCAATAAAAACAAAAGAAAATGGACCTGTTCTTTAATCTCTATCCCACAGTAGGTGACTTTGGAGGAACTGGGCCATTTTTTTGAGAATTCAACATAGCTAGTAAATATTAGCAGCAAACCCTATGAAGATTGCAGTGGCTTCCAGTGTGAATGTTTAAAATAACAGAATCCTGAAAAAAATCACCTAAAAATCATATTTCCAGTCTTGATCTCTACTGAAGGGTTCTTTTTAATTGAGCAAAATTTGTATGGCCATTTGAGTATATGAGAACAGCTGGGTAAAAGAACAAAGTCACACATCTGTTAAAAACTATTTGCAGTTATTTTAAGTTGCTCAAGCATCAAAATGATTCAGATAGAAAGCAGAAATATGACATGGAAATAGCTTTCAGTGAAAAGAGCCTTTTGAAAGCTCCAGTTTGTGTTATCTGAGTTGCACATTGCTGAAAAAGTCTCAGTGCAAATCATGATGCATAAGGCTTAAAGCTAGTCATCTTAGCAATACTAGCCAGGACACTAATGGGTCTAACAACAATAGAACCAAATGCAGTATCCATAGAAACTGAACAGCCCAACATAGTTCAAATCAAACAAAAGACTCATTGTGGAAATAAATGCATTTGAAATAGTGCAGGACTACCTAAAAAAAGTTTTATTTTATAAGATCATGGGAATACCAGCAGATACCCCAGTGGACTGAACAACAAAATAGTGAAAATATTCAGCTAGATCTAGACCATCTAACCCTGTGCAAAGTTATAATCGATTGTTTCATACCCTCAATCAAAATTAAAGTGCTCATGATTTTAAGAAATTGTACAGTATATAGATGCTGACAAGATTTAAGTTATTTTTTAATGTCCAAAAATATTTTAGATACCAAAATACACACCTCCAAAAGAAAAAACCCTTTTACATAAAAGTTCAAGTTAAAGACACTCTATTTCCATTCTGTCATGAAAAATAAGTTTAACATTTTCCAATGAATGCTCAACATTTTAATCCAAAATGTCCAGAGAAATATGGTTGAAGAACCTAAAAAACATCTGAAATGAAGTGTCAATGAATTCACAGAAATAAATACAACACAATTACCTCTGCTTCTCTCTTCTTTGCCCGGGCTTTCTCCACTTCATCCATTACTTTCTGGGATTCCTCCACATTTCCATCAGCTCCCAACTGTTCTACTTTGGCCAACAGCTTCCCAATTTCTTCATTCAATTCATGAACTCGTTCAGCCTTGGAAAACAAGGGGAGCTCAATACTGGCAAGCTTTCAGGTGTGTTAGAATTGGTTTCTCACAGAGAAGCTAGATTGTGTTTGTTGGGATTAAAATCTAAAGTCATTGCTATATAAAAAACCTCTAAGGCAATGTCAATAGACATATGTAGATCAAAGGTATCTTTAACTGAACAAGTACTGTAAGCCCCACCTACCCTGTATTCTCCAACAAGTATATTCCAGAGCAGAAAATCTCCCCTGCATATTCACAAGTTATTAAATTTTCAGGTTATGATATTTCTATAGCTGCCTCCGGGATTTTCATTATGATAATTTATGATGCAAGACTCATTGCTGCTGAAAGGGTTACCTTCACTCTACTTGCTTTGTCTCTAGTTATGCTCCACTTTAAGACCATAAGTCTGTTTAGAAATGCTCCACAATGCAAAAATTGTAAGGTCATTGCTCTCTATTCGATAAATAAATACGTTTGTAAAATTAACATATCTATTTCTCCCAACATGTGCATGCACTCACTGGAAGGAGACTGGAATTTTACAGTTACAAAAATTAGATGAGACTGCATTAACTACTAAGCTCTCTCAACTGCTGAGATTCTAGGCAAAAGACAGTTACTTCTTTTTGAAGGCATGCTCCACCACAGACTGAAGTTTCCTGAAAAGAAGTGGATGACCAGTCATCTCCCTGTTCTTCCCTCTCATTTTAGTTAGTGTTTTGCAAGCCATTGGTCCCAAATCACAAAAGGGTTGCAGGAAAGTATCAAGATAAGTAATCACATCCAAGGCCAGATTAAGCTACCACTGGAGCCTAGTCTACAGACATAAGAGCGGCCATACTGTGTTAGACCAAAAGTACATTACAGGTGTGTTGTGAGCAAGACACGAGAAGTCATTCTTCCGCTCTATTTTGCGCTGGTTAGGCCTCACTTGGAGGATTGTGTCCAGTTCTGGGCACTGCATTTCAAGAAAAATGTGGAGAAATTGGAGAGGGTCCAGAGAAGAGCAACAAGAATGATTAAAGGTCTAGAGAACATGACCTATGAAGGAAGGCTGAAAGAATTGGGTTTAAGTTTGGAAAAGAAAAGATTGAGGGGGGACATGATAGCAGTTTTCAGGTATCTAAAAGGGTGTCATAAGGAGGAGGAAGAAAACTTGTTCATCTTGGCCTCTGAGGATAGAACAAGAAGCAATGGGCTTAAACTGCAGCAAGGGGCTCTTGTACATTTCAAAGCAGAAGTGCCTACATGAAGCCTGGGGTCAGCAGGGACTCCCCACTGGCTCTAGGCTCCACGCGGCGTTTCAATCTTTGAAATGCACAAGAGCTCCTGCTGCGTCCCTGGCCTGTCCCATGGAGCTGGAGGGAACAGGCTTTTAAGCCAGCTCCCCGCAGCACCCCCTCCTCTTCTCTCCCTTGCTGCCTCTTTGTGATAGAGGCAGCTGCAGGGGAGGGAGGGCGCTAACTGACCATCCGATAAGCTTTTGCTTATTGGGTAGTCGATTAGTTGCTTACATCCCTACAAGGAACAAGCAGTGTCCAGTCCCCAGCTCTGCTCGTCCCACCCCCAGCTGCAGTCCTTTCCCAATACAAAGCCTGGATCCCAACCATGGCAAAGCTCCACACCAGTGACAGGACCAGCTGTTTCTCTGCTCCAACCCCCAGCCTATGGCTGCAACTCTGTTCCCAGCTCTAACCTCAGATCCACCCCTCAGTCTCAGCCCCTTTACTCCTGGCCACCCCAGGCTCAGATTGGCAGGGAGAGAAGGGGAGCATCCTTAAAAGTTTAGAGATCACACCTCTAAATTTCCACATACATCAATCCAGGATCAGGGTTGAGGGTGTAATGGTGGGTTGCAAAATAGACAAAATGCAATTGGGTCATGTTGGTAAAAAGTTTGGGAAATATGAAAAACATTCAGGGAGGAGGGGCAATTTCTCTTGCTCACACCAAAATCCACTGTTTGGGTGGCCTATCAAAGCCTAAATTTCCTTCCTTTTAAAAATTATTTGAATTTCACTAATGGGTAGTCTCATCTGAGTTCCCCTCAAGTGCACTTGGGCTAAATAAGAAATGGTTGTTTCCTGATTAAGGAAAATCACCCCAATTAGATGTATTCCCTTAAATTGTATGATAGGAACCAGTTGTAAATGCTTACTTTAGCTGCAACTTCAGCACTGATCTCTTCTTGGGTTTCTGCTAGTCTTTTCTTCGCCACTTCAGTTCTTCTGTCACAATCAGCAATGAATGACTGCAGGTGATCCATTGCCTAAAATATGAAAAGACCATCATGGCCAGAAAGAACAAGCAAAGCCCTCTAGACAAAGCCATAGCTGAGTGTTTGGGAAATACCAAATAAACTTATTTTAGGTTCTCATCATTAGGAAAAAAGGATCTTTTTAGCCCACGTGTAACTCATAGTGCAATCTCGAGTTTTACCTCGACCAGCCAATATGGATTACAACTCAAAATGCTTCATCATTGGGATTCTAAATTAGTTAACTAACATGGATTAGTTTAGCATGGGCTAAAACCATATCTTTATTACTAGTGAATATTAGACCAAGGGATCGCACAATATGACTATTCAAAGCACATATGACCACCGTCATTGTATACAATCTGTTACCCCAGATGCAAGAGAAAAATAAATTTTTAATGTTGTGGACAAAAATAGCACTCTAAAGCCTCTCCTCAAAGCACGAATGTGTTACTCCTGGAGGAATTCTGGGTCACTATGCACATTCAGAACTCACGTCCCTGTCCAGATTTTTTAAATTTCTTTGCAGAAAATACATTTTAGTAGGCAGGTGTTGTTGCTACTCGACTGCATCTTCTGGTTCCATATAAAGTGTGTTTGACCAGTTCATAATTCTGAGGCATATAATAGAAACTAAGAATTACATGTATATAGTAAAACCTGTGCTATCTAGCACACCGGGGGATTAGGGTATACCGGTAACCTAAAAATTCTGGTTATCGGGGGGGAGG